GGTAAATAGTAGTATCTTATATTAAAGAATTAGATATATAGTTACTTTTACTTTAACTCCTTTAAGTAATTAAGAATTTCCTTTACTATTATATTAAGAATATTTTACTTATATATATTATATATAGGTATATTAATTACTAAATATATAAATTTATAATTAAATAGTTTTTACTTATAGCTACCCTTAGCCTTTATTATTTTTCTATAAAGGTAATTATAAGAATTATACTTATTATTTAATTTACCTCTAGAGCCTAAGTTATTAGGTTTAAGTAGTATAATAGTAAAGGTATATATAACTAAGTATTTTTTAAGTATAGTTATATCTTAAAAGATTTATATATAAACTATAAAAGAATAAGGAGGTCTTTAATTCTTATAACTTCTTATAATAATTATTTATTATTATATTATAGCCTATAACTTATTAAAGTTAACCCTTACTACCTTAAGGAATTTCTTAATAGCTAATATACTTTTAATTTTAAGAATCTTATAATATATATCTAGTATATATACCTCTTCTTACTTCTTAATCTACTTAAAGGCCTTTATATTAGTAATCTTTACTATATTTAATATATTATTATAGATATATAATACCTTCTTCCTAGAGTCCTCTTATAAGAAAGTAAGTATATTACTTATAATATATATTTTTTACTTTAAGGTTATATTCTCCTTAAATTATAACTTAACCTAATTTTATATAACTAGTTTAATATTATTTAAAACTTAAATATATATTAGATTAATTAGTTTTATATATATTTTAAAGTCTTTAATTATATAATTATAATAATACTTCTTTTTCTTAAGTTCCTTTTTAATATTATTATCTTTTAGGTCTAGTATTATTATAACTACCTCTAGATTTATACTTACCTTCTTTACCTCCTCTAGGCTTATTTTCTTAAGTTTTTATTTAATTATTTTAAAAATTAATAAGTTTAGTTTAAATAAAATATTATTAAGGTAATTAAGGGTATTAAGGTTAATATAATCTTAGGTATATAAGCTCTTAGCTTAATTTTTAAAAATTAGGAATTAGGTATCTTAGGTCTTTAGACCTCTAAGCTTTTAAGTAGTAAAAGATATAATTATTTTTAATAAATTAATCTTTAAAATCTTAAATTATTTACTTATTAAGAAAAGATATTAAAATTAAAGCTTAGTTCCTTTTAGACTATACTAGGCTTATAACTCTTAGTAATTAGTCTCTAGGCTTATAATTAGTAAGTTAGCTACCTAGAGGTGTAGATAATAAGAAACTAGTAGGTATAAGGTTTTAGGTAATATAATTCTATTATTATATGTCTACCTAGAAGAAACTGTCCTAGGGGAAAGGTACTTAGTTTTATATGGGAAATAGGGGCTAAAGTGGGTACCTTTTCCCTTCCTCGGTTTATGATTAGTGGTTAGAAACACAGCACCTTACTGGTTGCTGTGGCCCACACAACCTGCTACAGCCACGGCTTCAACACTTTACGTCTTCGATATTTAGCGGGGATTCCGCGGGGCAAGGTGCCGAGGTCCAGAGAGCGGAACCCTGTCCGGGAAACTACCTATATTAGCTCTACTCGCTTCCACATTCGAGCGCGGAAGATGACCAAAAGGTTCGTGCCATCTGGCAGCTCCTGTTGAAAAGGCAAAATCGCAGTTTGACCATCATCAGGTCCTTGTCGGCCGGCCCACGACAACACTGCACGGTGACGAGCAGATGCCAGGACAAGGTGCTTATTCGGATGCCACTTGCTACTTGCGCTGATCGAATTCCGTCCATCATATCAACGTCTTTTTCTCTCGATATCGACTCTCGAATACCATGAGACTTGAATTGGAAAATCTCAAATGTCAAAAAAGGGAAAAAAAAAAAAAACAGTGACGGCATTTTACTATTCGAGACATGTACGCCACAATTGACCACAATCGGCAGCCAATCTCACATTTCCCATGTAGCTTAGAGTGAACCCGAAAATGATTTTTTTTTTCTTCTTGGGTCAGTTATGCCGATTCAGATTCAATCATAACCAGAACATAAAGCAACAAAAAGAAAATGGCCGAGCTCGGCCCTCACCCAGCCCTTCCAGCCCCCCTTCCAGCAACCGCCCGTCCCAACAACAACAAACGACAATTTCTCAAGCCCACTTTCTCTCCTGTTCTCAGCTACAAGTTCCACGGTTCTTTCCATGACTGCCTCCATTTCTTCGGGCTTCTTGCTCTTCCGCCTCCGGATGAGCTGCAGGATGACAAGTTTGAAGGGCAACTGCGGAGGACTGGTCTTTATCATTGTTAGTAATGGCCGGTCAAGAGTTGGCCATTCACGGCGCCGAGTGGGGCCGGGCACTTCTACGCCCCGCAATCCTCCAGCTTGCACGATAGGCGACGACACTTGCGAGAGCAAGTTTGACAACATCGTCACGACTCAAAGTTATTTGACGTCTATTCAGCTTCATCGGCTAGCACTTGGACGAGATACTCAAGTGGTATACATGTTGTGTTGTGCCTAGGTAGAGAATAATACACGACCTTTCCGTTTCTGCCCCAAGCGTCTTCATTCGTCATCCTTGTGCATCCATCCAGTTCCCACCTTCTGGTATATGTATAAGAACAAAAAGCAATGCTGCCCTTCACACGCACCTGACCACGTTCGTTTTTCTTCAACCTCAGTCAGAGAGCAGATGTTCTATAGCTCCCTGTACGCTTCCTCCACTTCGTCGTAGCGCGGCGACGTTGCGGTCGAAATTAAAAAAGCCCATATCATTGAGCTGTCGGAGTTGCTCTTCGTATCGTTCCTCTGGAGGTCGGTTGTCGGGGGGTGCAGCTGGGCCAACGCCGCCGGCTTGAGTACCAGTCATGGTACGCATGAGTTGGGACATGTGCTGAAGTTGCTCTGGGCTCATGCCGAATGGATTGCCGGCAGCGGCGGCGCCACCAGCCCCGGCTGCGCCTCCAGGGAAGAGGGCGGCAAAAGGGTTCTGCGCGTTGACACCAGCACCTGCGCCGGCCTCCCCTTGGCCTTCGCTTCGTGAACCAGGGCCGGCACCGGCATCGGCACCTCCAAAACCGGCGGCGCTGAGGCTTTGCATCATGTCAGAGAAGCTCATGCCGGGAACTGCGCCGACTCCAAATGGATTGAAAGAGTTGGCCGAGGGAACCTGCTGCCTTTGTCCTTGGGCTTGGGCGCCATTGCTGGTGGCATCGGTGGGATTCTGTGGTGTGGTATCGGTTGCGCCTGGCGCAGGGAAACTGTCGAGTCCACGCATACCGCGCCCCACTCGCATGGCATTGCTGAGCATGGCAGGGTTGCTCATCATCTCTCTCATGAAGGGCGAGGTGATGAGTTCACGAGCGTTTGGCATGTCGCGGAGCATAGGGTTCGACTCGATGAGCATGTTGATAAAGTCGGGGTTGTTGAGGGCTTCATTCATAGTCTGCTGGACGTTGGGATCGGACATCATGCGTGCCATGTTTTCCTCACTCATGGGAGGGCCCATCTAAGTCAGGGTGTTAGCTGGATGAGGCAATGAGGAATTGTGGTGGTAGGTTGGGTGGACGAGGGTACAAACTTACGCCACCATCGGGACCAAACATGTCCATACCAGGCAGGTTCACCTGGTGACCGGCATAGCGAGCGCCAGTCAGGCCAGCAAGAGGGTTGTTGGCGGTTCCCGAAGCCATGTTTGTGGGCAGAGCCTGCGGCGCGGGAGCGGAGGCGGACGAGGCTGGCTGGGGAGGGTTACTGGCGGCGCTCTTGACCATGTGGATGATATTGTTTGGCTTGATCTTGTATGTGGCGAGGGTATCATCGTTCTTCATGACACGGCCGGAGTAGATGAGGCGTTGGCGCTCGACGGGCACGTTTTCATAATCGTCGCCAGCGAGCTTATTCTTGAGATCGAGGACAGAGGCACTGTCGGGCATTGTGATGGTGTGTGTGCCCTCAGACGAGGTCTTGACCTTGAATGTAATTTGGGCATCGCTGCCCGCTTCTGCGTTGTCGGCCATGGCGCGCTGCGACGACGAGGGCGGTTGGAGGGGGAGGGAGGGGGGTTTAGAGGAAGAAGGAGAAGTCTGTTTTGGGCAAGTTGTTGGCCGGCGCAAGGTGAGGCGGGGTGAAGCGGGTGGAAGGCGAGAGAGACCAGGATGGGTGGTGATGGGGGAGCGATGTGGGCGGGGCGAGCAAGAGGTACCTGGTTCGACTTGACGCAGATGTCGTCTGACAGGGAGACGGGATGAAAAAGTGGGAAAGTGAGAGAAATGACGTAGATAGGGTGTAAAAGAAGAAACAAGACAGCTACAAGGTTTACAAGAATCATTAGGGAAGAGAGAAAACAAAAGGCCAGTTGGCTGTCTCGTAGTACTACGAATAATAAGTACTCAAAATACTCAAGGTACCTTATTAATTAGGTAGTGCCTACCTTACCAACCTAGTGGACCCATTCATCACCAACTTGAAGTGGAGAGGCGCCGCTGAACTCGGCCGGCGGACAACGAATTCGCTGATGGTTACTCTCAACACGTATTTCTACTTGCTGACCCAGCGGGTTTCATCTCGAAAAAATTCATCCAATGTGGCGCTACATTCCCGTCGCCATCTCAACCGCTTCTGAAACGCTCCCTCATGTTCTTTGCTCACTATAACAATTTCTGCGGCCCCTAGCACGCCTCATCATGACGCTGGCGTTTCCATCAGTGTCCACAGCCTTCTCCGGACATTGTTTTGCTCATCAGTCCATACAGCTACCTGCGAATAGTAATACACCACATGGACTTGAGCTGTCATCAAGCAAGCGATGCCCAGCCTTTTTTTTCCCTTGATCGGCTGATAGCTTTATCACTCCGGGTGCCGCGGTTGCTACACCCCGCTCACATTCAAAGTCAGATGTATCTGAAACATTTCTATTGTAGCATTTTGCAGTTGCCGTCCTCTACTTTCTTTTACCCTTGTTTTTTACCTTGAATATGGTTCTCAAAAGTCAATACACCCTGTCAAGACAAAGCCGTAGGTGCCCACCAAGAATAATCAAACAGTCGCGCTAGAAATAGTCGCATAATCAAAAGCGTTCGCTGAAGGTGGTTAGACTCCACACCTGCAGCAAGCCCAAGATCAACCTGCACCACTGCACCACTGCACCACTGCACCACTGCCAAGTAAACACCAAGCAAGCTTATCACGACAGAACCTTATCGTGCCCGTCCTCATCAGCAACAGCTTGTGTTTCAACCGACCTATTGATTGCTGCCAAGCCAAACTGCGACTTTGAAAGGCCCAAGTCTTACCACATTAATCGTACCGAGCTCTCCCACGGTGGACAGCCAGCTTTCCGCTCCCACAACAATGCAGCCATCATGATTCAAGGCATCTTCTACGCAAGATTCTTCCCCCAAGAGGGTATGCCGTCACCTCTCACTCGCACTACCTCTCCATCAACTCTAAACAGCAAAACCAAAATACACCAGGCCCCAAAATCGTTGCGCAGTCGCCGCCCGGATGCATCACTGTCGCGGAAAACTCGACGCGCCCGCCCCTCATCGACTTTGACGTGCTCCAAGAGTACATTATCCCGCGCCAGGCCTTTTGCAACCGCTACATCACCATCAACTCGCCCGACGGCAAGTATACCATTCTCTGCCACCCCGTCGTCATTGCGCACACTAAGTATCTGCGCAATGAATTCATCTTCAACTTTGGCCTCCTCGTCGAGGCCGACGCCGACCACGCCGCCTACGAGCGCGTCGTCCGCTGCCTCGCCGCCACCTTTTCCGAGATGGAGAAGCAAAACGAGTACCTGAGCCTCGGACAGGACGCCCGGCCCGTCATGTCCGCGGCCGCGGCGGCTGCGGCGGCTGCGGCAACGACGGGCCACGGTGGCGACGATGAGGCGGCTGCCGCCCGCCGTCCCATTGAGAGCCTGCTCGAGATTATCAAGGAGGATCTCAACAACTATGGCGAGTGCATGATCCCAGTCGGTACGTGCCTCTTCTCCGTATTCCAGATTATTCGTCCGAAACCTCGCTAACCATGTCACACAGATGAAGCCAACACCATCAACATGAAGCTCTTTCCCCATCACGCCACCCCACCTCCTGTCAAGGGCTGGCACGTCCCCGTCGCCAAGACCAAGTTTGCTGACATTGTCGACCCGACCTGGGATCTGACTCTGCAGCGCGTCATCGAAAAGATTGACGGCGTCTCCGACGTCCGCCGCATCGCCCACGAGGCCTCCGTCTCCCTCGAGCTCGCCAAGACGGCCCTTCGCCACCTTCTCTACTACGACACCATCCTGCTCCTCGACATTTTCTTCTTTGGGTCCTGCTACGCGCCCCGCCCCGGCATTCACGACTTTGTCGCAAACGTCGACGGCATGGTCGACGAGTGCGCTGGCTACGTCTCCCACGGCCCCGCCCGCGTCGGCAATTTCATGCTCATCAAGCTCATGCTGTCCTTTAGCCCCGGCAAGAGCATCAAGGAGTGGCTCGTCGCCCATCAGGATGCCGGTTTCGACGTGATAAAATACGTCGATATTCGCCGCTTCGTCCAGTTTGGCGTCATCAAGGGCTGCCTCTACCGCGTCCACAAGTACGTCGTCTCCAAGCAGTACATTGCCGCCCTGGCCACCGGCCAGGCCCGGCCCGTTGATGGCGACGATGCCGCCGATCCGTTGCAGAAATACACAGACGGCTGTCACCACTTTGATCAGATTATAACGGAGCGTAATTTGACCAATGACGAGGTCATTGATAAGCTGAAGCAGCTTCCCGTACCAAAGGGTGACTTGGCCGTTTTCTACAGATGATGATGAATGGATTGGCCATTGAGAATTGCATACGTACAAGACTCCCCAAAATTTATTGCACAAGATATGCTGGTGCTGATGGGGTCGGATCTAGAACAACCAACTAAATAACGTCTCTCTAATGTTCGCCTTTTAATTATGCCCGTTAATATACACGATCTAGTCTTACAGGAAGATGCCCTTTCATATTTTACAAGTGGACACAAACCACATCAAAGATTCAACAATCACTCAATACTGCTTCACCAGTCAAAGTCTTCTCCGCTTTTGGGTTTCCCTGCCCTCTTCTCCGCCTTCTCCTCATCCTTGTGCATGCGCGTCTGCTTAGCCCGCTCGCGCATCTCGAGTTTGCTGGGCATTTCAATCTCCGGGTTGTTGGCCACCTTGAGACGTGCCTCGCGGCCCTTTTTCTTGAGCATCTTGTTGACTTGCGTCATGGTCAGTGTCTCGCCGCGCTCGGCCGCCTGCGCGATAATCTCCTGCTTCATGCGGCGCACCTGGCCCGTGTACGGCTCGCCCGGGTACGTCTGCCCGCTCGCCTTCCACTCGTCGTCGTCCATGAGCTCAATGATGCGCACATTGTGCTTGCCTTTGCGCAGGATTAGCATCCGGTCGTCGAGCAAAAACTTGGCCGTCTCCTCGGGGTACCACATCTTCATCGGCGTCCAGTTCAGGTTACCGGGCACGAGGCCGCGCTTCTGGCCGGGCTGCGCGGCGACGTACGCGCCCTGCTGCTTGACCAGTCGCTGACCTTCGACGGCGGTGGGGGCCAGGCCAGCCGCGAACAGCAGTCTGGCGGGCGACAGCTGCATGACGGAGCGCGGGAGCCTGATGTCGCTTCGCGGACGCGTATTGGCGCTAATGAGACCGCTGCTTGGTTCTGGTTCCTTGGTAATATGAGGTAGTTGGCCACCGAAGCGATACTGATGCTGCTGCGCTTCTACTAGAGCCTTTTGCGATCCGTGAATTAAAGACACAAACTCAAAGGCCAGATTATGCTGCGCGATGCGCTTCGTGGGGTCCGCTTTATGTTGCTCCATGACGGACTCGATCTTGTCCATGGGCAAAAAGGTAAAGAGCTTCAGTAGTTTCTCTACCTCTTCGTCGGGACGGCACATAAAGTAGCCGTACAGATCAAAGGCACTTGTCTTGAATTCGTCTAGCCAAATGGCATTGCCTTCGCTCTTTCCAAGCTTGTTACCAGCGGAATCCGTGAGCAGCGGTACCGTGAAGCCAACGGGCTCGTGCTGCCATCCCGTCTCCATGCGCGCATACGGTGCTTCCTCTGTTTCTCGAATCGTCTTGAGTGCGTCAATTCCCGCGACAATGTTGCCGTACTGGTCAGAACCGCCGATTTGCATCTGAATGTTAATCTTGCTGTACATGTGCCAAAAGTCCCATCCTTGCATCAAGGGATACATGAATTCGCCCAGGGACATGCCGTCGCCCTCTGACATTTTGCGCTTGACCGTATCGCGACTCAGCATAGGACCGATCCGGGTGTGCCTCGCCAGTCTTTTTATGAAGTCGTACGTCGTCAGACCTCCAAGCCACATGTTGTTATTGAGCAGATGTCTCTTGGCTGCCCAGTCGTCGCTATAGCCGTATTTGATTCGCATCTGAATGACATTGTGCCACAGCTTTGTCAATTGGTAATGTAACTTGGTGATATTTTTTGATATGTCCGCGTTGGATAGCTGCTGACGGCTTGTTAAGCGGCCGGTGGGGTCGCCGATTCTTGCTGTCGCGCCACCGATGAGCGTCACGGCAGGATGGCCATGGAACCACAGCCAGAAGAGAGGCATGAGTGCTAGCATGTGGCCTACATGCATAGAGTCGGCTGTTGGGTCGATTCCGACGTACGCGCCAATTCGCTTGACTCGCATGATTTCCTTGATTCTGTCGGGGTCTCTGTTCATTGCGGTTAGTCTCAAACATTGCGTTACTCAATTCGATCAACTAATTGCGGGAAGCCTACCCTGCCACATCCTTGATGTATCCTCGCTCGTCCAAAATGTCCCACACGTGCCGCAGCTCTCCATCCTGGATCTGTTTCGCCCTCTCTTTCCAGCGCTTTTCTCCTTCAGCGACCTTGAGCAAATACGAGTGTGCGATTCCTCGTATTTGCTGATCCCGGGACAGAGGGTTCCTGAGCTGACGACCAACACAAAGAGAGTGCGAAGCCGTTCTTATAGGGGCCAGCGCAGTGGCCGTCAATCGGGCGGCCATTGTGTTTGCCCTTGACAGAAACGAGCTCGCACAGGCTGGGAAGAACCTTTGTCCGTGCCTCAGAATCCGCAAGGTTGGACTCGATCACCGATATTGGACCCCGTGGCGCAAGAAAGATGCAATGACGACTGAGCTTTGTTGAAGCAAACTCCCCTGTATAATTTGACCAAAGAATATCTAGCCAGTGGATACTCTAGCGTGGAGCCGCACGTAACGCAAAGCTTCACATGCACTCATGCTGCCAAAAAAGTTGCTTTCTAGCGCGGCTTCGGAAGAATATTCTTCAGCCGCCGAACTCTCACAGCACGCTTTGCACCGCTCGGGAGCAGGCCAACCAATCGCAGAGCTCCTAATTAGAGATCCTCGGCAATACCAGGACCAGCAAGCCCCAGCGCGGAACCGCATCATCGAAACCAACCTTGACTTTTGCCTCCTCCGACAAGACAACCCGCATCGTGTCCGGAACGTGCATCGATTTGAAAAGAACCGCTTAACACCGACCGTCATTTCGAGGACGCCAACGAAACCTGCCCTTGCTTGTTCCCTCAGCATACTCTGTCCATCCGTTCCTTACTCGGCAGTAATCGGGTTGAGGTCATCGCGGCAATTCAACCACAAACCGTTCGTCACAATGGCTTCCCTCATGCGCTCCTCCATCCTGCGCCAGACGGCCATGAGCCGTAGCGCTTTCGCTCAGCCTGCCATGCGCAACACTGTTCTCCGCGCCGCTGCCCTGCACACCACCAGCAAGCGTCCAGCTTTCCTTCCTCCCGGGCCCCGTAAGCAGTTCTTGCCATATCTTCCGATTAGGACAAAACAAAAAAATACTAACCTGTTTGCTTCAATGCAGAGGTCATCCATGGATCAGGTACGAACTACTCGTCGGCACCAACACCGCGCCCGATTGCGTTTTCGAGGTCCCGGTTTAGACCCCTCTAGTTCATCATACTAATACCTCGGGTCTTCTAGTCAACGATCCTGCACCTGTTCCCCACGCCAACGCCGCCCACGGCTCGTACCACTGGGCTTTCGAGCGCCTCCTCGCTGCCTCTCTCGTTCCTCTGTCTATCGCTCCCTTTGCTTCCGGCTCGCTCAACCCGACCCTCGATGCCGTCCTGTGCTCGGCCCTGCTCCTACACTCTCACATGGGCTTCCAGTCCGTCATCATCGACTACATTCCCAAGCGCACATATGCCGGCCTCCACAAGATCTTCATGTGGGCTCTGAACATTGCGACTGTCGCTGTTGGCGTATCTCTATACGAGTTTGAGACGAATGATGTTGGCGTCACCGAGACCATCAAGCGCGTCTGGAAGGCCAGCTCCTAGACCGAGTAAAGGGCTTAAAAATCACGCAATGGGGAAGGAGTTTGAGTATGAACCAGCAATCAAAGGCTCAGGTTTATTTCGTTTTCTTTGTCAAATCGGCTTCATGTGACTTCAGTCACAGTGTATAGAATGGTCTGCGTAGTAGACTAAAAATGTATTTCAGTCCGTCAAGATATATCGGTCGTGCTATAGTGAAATGCAGCATTTCTTTTGTTTGGATAAGATCATCTAAATCTCGAACATGCAATGATGCACAGCCGATGAGCGCACAAGGTTCATCAGGCTATCTGTTTTGGTTGTCATGTCCCCGTGAGTACTCATCAGGTTTCTCGGCATCAGGTCCTTACATCCATATTTTTAGAGTGCATCTCATTTCTGCGCTACTTTCTATATATTGCAACAGATTCATGTAATACATATCGACAGTCTTTTTCTTTTTTTTTTTTTTTTCGATTTTGTGTTCCCTGCATTCAGGCACCCGCTTCTTCCTTTTACCGTTTGACCACGTTCGAAGCCAATACGTTACAGCATTCAACGATTACCAACTGTAGATTCATATTGTTTGCAGCGTTGGAACACGTCAGATCTCGAGGCTCGTAATTTCGTGGCTGTTGACGCGCTCCAGCTCAGGAGTGGGAGGACGAAGGTGGTCAACCTTGGTGCATATCCAGCAGCTGGCATACATGTTGACGCGATCAATGCATGCACCGTCGCGGCGGCCACCGTGGCACTTGGGGACGAAGCCGTGGGCTTCAAAGACCTTGAGGTACCAAGGCTCCAGAGCCGAAGAACGCAGCATCACGCGACCGCCGATAGCGAGAGCGCGGTTAAGCTTCGTGACCTGCTTGTTGGCAGCCTCGGAGCCGGGATCGAACCAATCCATACTGTCCATGACAACGGCCACGGTAAGGGTCCCAGGCATGATGCGAGCAATCACCTCCTCGAGCTCATCAGTATGGATGCGAAGGCCATCCAGAGCGCCAGGGCGTGAGAGTTTGGCATGAACCTCTTGATCAAGGTAGCGAAGGTGGCACTTTGGAGTAAACTGGCCATCGAGACACACATAGTAGTAAGGGTTGTCGGCGCCAATATGAGTATCCTCGGCGACAGGGTCAAGGGTGTTGACCATGTAGTGCCAGATGGCATGTGAGCGGGTGTTCTTGGCCTTGGGGTTCGGACCCTTGACGAGGTCGGACTCGGCATGGTCATTTTCAATCATGGCAAGCTGGTTTTTGGGAACACCAAGTGCGGTCCAGAGAAAGCTTTCCTGGGCAACCACAAGGTTGGACACGAGCTTGGACAGGAGAGCAGGGCGGATCTTGTTTCTCCATATCTCACGCTGCTCATTCAGAGTCTTTGCGGCGAGAACCTGTTTGACAGCTCCCCGGATACCAAAGAGGCGAGAAATCCAACGCATGGCGCGGATCGCGTGGCGAGAGCCACCAGTGTCGTAAAGACCATAGGTGCTCTGAAAAACGTGGACATTCTTGAGCCAGTACTGAAAGGCGCGGCTAGACAGATGGGGAGAAAGCTTGGTGATAAGAAGCGTGCGAAACTCAGGGTGCTTGCCCTCACCAAATATCTTCCAAAAGTCCTCATACGGGAGCGCAGTATAAGCGGCAGCCTTGAGCTCGAGGAGATGGTTCTGGGTAGGATTGAGATCGACAGCGTGAACACGAGCAGGGCCCTGAGCCAGGTAAGACAGGATGTTGTCACCAGCGGAAGTAATGGCAAGGACCTTGTCATCCGGGCCAAGCTTCAGAATGCGCTCATCGACACGGGCATCCTCCCAGGTGAAGGCATAAATGTATTCATCGTTGAACTGCTTGTGCTTCTGGAGCTGATCATCGTAGTAGATACGCCAGTGGTGGTTCTGGTAGAAGAAGGCGGGCAGAGGCAAGTTGGCAGAAAGATTCTGAACGGCAGTGAGGAAGGCCTTGGAGCGGATCTCGGGAGCAGACCTCTCAATGGCGCGGGTAAGGGCATCGCCTTGATTCACTGGGTAGAGGTACGGCGACTCGGTAGCATACGCGTCAATTCGCTCGAGGATTTCGTGCGGCAGCGCAGTCTTGGAGAAGGGCTTCTTTTGGCATCCAACCCAGACATAGTACGGAATGTATCCCAGGCTGCGATTTCGAGCGTTGAGGTTGAGAATGGTACCGTACTTGTACTCGAGGTAGTCGCGTCGTCCAGACTCCAGCGCGACGCGGTCAAGGTCAAACCAGGCACGCCAGAACATGCGTGATAGGGCATTGACATGGCGGTCGATGTATCCGGCAGTGTAATTTCGGAAGGAAAAGTCGGATTGGTTCTGAACGTAGAAATCAACAACACCGAAAACACCAGAGGGCGACAGGAGGGAGCCAATAGAGTCAACAACGGAGTAGTAATCCGGCTGTTTGGATTGTCAGCAATTATCAATTCATCTCAATCTATAGGAGAAAGCTTACAATCATCGATAGGCTGTAAGACATGGTGACCAGATCAGCACCGCCGTGCTCGGGGCGCTGCTGCTTGAAGTAGCTGAGCGCAGGAGAACGAAGTAGGCTCTGAGCGACAGGCATCCCGTCCTCGTAATCTTCCAGGCGAAACTTGCGTGCGTCTTGGCAAACAACAGTGACGTTCTTCCAACCGAGGCGCTCAAAACGCTTTCGGGCGACTTCGCAGAGAGAAGGAGAGAAGTCGACGAGATAGACGCTGGAGAAGAACTCGGGGACATTGACGTGCTCGCTCATGGCTTCAATGTTCCAGCCAGTGCCGCCGCCAATCTGTGAAAGAATTGTGAGTAGCCATTCAAAGGTAAAAGACGTGTAGAGCAATGGCAACGTACGTCGACCCAGATTCTCTTTTCGCGTTTACTCTTCCCAGCATCCTGGGGGGACTGAAATTTGGCCTTGAGCTGAGCGACAACCAGTGCGAGCATATCCTCGCGACCGCGGAGAAGGATGCCGCGGGTGGTGTCGTAGGCCCCGGCCTGTTTCTTATAAAAGCTCTCGAGGGCGTCTTGCTGGGAAGCCTTAGATCCACCCTGGTGAGGCTTGAGAAAGGAAGAGTAAAAGAAGAGGAAAAAGGACTTGAGAAGTCCAGGAGAGGACTCATCCTTGCCGTCGACAGTAGGTTTGCCGAGGGAGAAGAGGCAAGCTCCGCCAAGGAGAGCAACAGCTACGCCAGCATAGTGCATAGGCTGCAATTGAAACTCGTTGCCAAAAGGCAGAATGTTACCACCCTAGGAAGCGCGACTGGTTAGCACGTGAGGCTAGAAGTGATGAGAAAGTTGAATGAAAAGCAGCTTACAGGAAAAGCCATGGTATTCTCTCATTGTCTTGCGAGAGAATACTATGTAGAAGTAATGTACAGTTCAGAGGCTTGTTGAAGTGCTCAGAACTGAAGCAGAGAGAATACGTCGAGTAGGTAAAGAAGAGGAGGGTGGGAAAAAGAGGCGGGCCAGAAAGCTGCCCCTCGTCCACGGTGGCGTATATATACGGAACAGGGTTCTTGTGCGTGCCTGGAGAGTTTCCACTCTGGACAAGGATACATATGCTTTCTCTGGGAGCAAGCCGGCTATGTTGGACAAGATGCTTCACCGCGAGGGGGGACTCAGACCTCTCTAATTCCTTGCCTTGTCAAGCCAAACAGACCCGCAGCAAGCAGTGCTGTTACATGAAGTGTACGTATACTTATTAGTTGGACACACGGGGCGGCAAGTTTGGCTGTATCCTGCTGTGCAACACCAAGCAGAGAAAGCCAAAGACACCGCCTTGGTAGTCCATCCCTGCAACATCACAGTGGTGTTGACTGTTGAGGAACAGAGGCGGGCTTAGCATGGGCGTGGACCAATGGCTGGGCCACATGCCGGGCAACGTGCAGCGTAGGTGTACAGTGATGGGGCGGATTGCCGTCCGTAGTCACTAGTTATTGTTTCCACTACTTGGCTGTAGTTTTCATCGGCAGTGGTAGTGATCTGCCAGGCGAAAAGGTAAAAGGTAAAGACGACAGAGGAAGACAGATTGTAGTGTGGGTGGGCCAGAGGCGGAGGAGGCTGTCGAAATGTGCAGATGTGGTAGGCTGGCAGCTTCGTTGCATGGCGATCGCAGGTAGCTCATTGACCGAGATTCTGGAGCTGTAAGCATTCTTCAATAGCAAGATTCCCCACAATGCGGGCTGCCACGGTTCAAGTTGATGGGCAGCACAGGTCCAGCTATTGGAAGAGATCGCGACAGGTGGGTAACTAGCGATAGAGTCGGCGGACAGTTGCGGAGGCGGGGAGAGATAGGCGTGGATGCTCGTTCCAATGTAAAGAGGAAGGAGACGACGAGCTGGATGTAAGTTGAGTAGAGAGAGGCTTCTCTTGCCAGCCGACAGTCAGTCAGTCAGTCCATCTGCAAGTCTTCGAGGAGCTTCACAGCACCCACCACGAGCGGCGGCATCACTGCCACCCCATTCATTCTCCTCATCCAACTCAACAAATGCCCCCCCAATTATCTTTCTATAAAGTCCCCTCCTCCTGCTGCGCTATTACAACAAACTCACCCGCTAGACCCTCCACTAAGCCAGCCCCGTCCGCCCAATGAGATGCATCGGCCCACGCACATGCGGCTACCTTGTGGACAGTAAACGCCAGCAGACTGGCACGGCCAGTCGGTCTTCTTTTTTCATCTTCCTTGTAATAACAGGCCTTTCGCGCGAAAACTCTCTTGTTGATTGAGTTGTCGACTGAATTCAGTGCGAGGCGGCGGCAGTGTCTCTTGCGAGAGCGTATCAAGAGAACTTGTTCTCTTTAGCTTGTGACAGCCCCGCCGCTTGTCTGTAGAATATATGCCGCATGGATGCACAGCCCGGGACAGCCAATTAGGCACTTGCTTGAAACTGCTATACGTGCATGTACGTTTGCTGTATTGTTGGGAACCTCTGCAGAAGCCTGCTGCTGCACGCACGCCAACACGCGTCTGGCGTCCTTAGGCCCTGGGTACATGCAGGGTATACTGGTAGGCTCAGCTGCACTCTCGCGTGAGCACTCGCAATTGAATCCGTGCAAAGTTTCAGATATCAATCTGGGCGGATGGACCTCGATGATTTTATGCGTACTCTGTAACATGTAACACGAGCGAGCTATCGCAACCGTTTGCCTTGTGTATATGTAACTTGTGGGGGCTGTTTTCGGCGGACGACCAGGGACAGAGAAGCTGCCGACGCTCGGGACCACAGTTAATCCGCAACCAGGCATGCTCCTTGCTAGGCCAATTTTCCGAGTCCAACACCACCAAAAAAAAGGTGTCTCGTGAGCTTTTGTCTTCCCAACCTTCACAACCAATCCTCACCATCTCCATCTACCATGTCGCTCCAATCGACATGGTCATGCTTCAGACCAGCGGCCGCCCGGCGCGTGCCGCCAACAGTCCCGCGGACGGCGGCGGCGGCGCTGAGCACCACCTCTGCCTCGCGCAGCCAGCAAATCCCCCCCGAATCGCCATCCTACATTCGCCTCCCGCAGGTTCCGCAGTCAACCGAGACCAAGCCGGAGCGAGTACGCGGCACGCTCCCCGTGCCCCGCGCCATCTTTGACCGTGCCGACGGCGATCGCAAAGCGCGGCCCGAATACGTGGAGAGGACGGCGCCGCGGCGCCGCGACGACGAAAATAACCGCCGCCCCCTCAACAGCGACACCCAAAAATGGAAGAAGCAGCTCGCCGATAGCCGGCGCGAGAACCTCGCGCAAGGTCTGCAGAGTCTGTGGCAGCGCCACGAGACGCGCGAGCAAGGCCGGGCCGAGCGGGCGCGCAGCCGGGAGCGCGCTCTGCAGCGCGCTCACGAGGCCCCCGAG